GAGAAGCAGAGTGGTCCTGAGTCCAAGTTAAAGTGATTTTAATTTTTGTGAGGAAATTTCATCCCAAAAGGGGGGTAGGACAAGTTGGTATAACGAGAAAGGAGTGTGAGAGAATCCTGTTGTTTATTAAGTAGGTGATGGGGCCTGTTGTGGGGGGGTTTGAGGGTTGCCCGTTAATTTCCATAACAGAGGCTGAGGAAGGGAAACATGGTCCTGAGAAGGAGAGGAGTACAGAATAGGTAGTCCCTGTATCAATCAAAAAGGAGATTGACTTACCCGCTACCTTGATAGTGACCCTGGGCTCAGCGAGAGTGATCGGGGTTGTTGAGTCTGGGCTCCTTCAGTCCTCAGTGGCCAGGCCCAAATTGTTGACAGCGGTTTAGTGGATGGGGAGGATGGTCCTTCGTGCTTTGACACAGAGGGATAGTCACTCTTCTAATGTCTTTTCAAACCACACTCTGGACATGGGCCAGGGGGCAGTCGGGATCCAGCCCATTGGGGCTAAGGGCAGAGTCTGGCCCAGTGCCTTTCCTTACCACACTTGCAGCAGGATTGGGGAGCTGCCCAGGAAGGAGGTCTTCTGTCACTATGTGCTGGCCTCAGGGCCGCTAGCAAGGCATTGGCCTGTAAGGCAACCTTCTGGCGGGTTCTGGCTTTCTTATTTGTTTCTGCTTTCTCCTCTCGGGTGTTAAAGACTTTAGAGGCCATATTTACTGTCTCTGATGGGAGTTTGGGGTCCCTCTTCAGCTTTCTTTAGTTTCTTTCTAACGTCAGGAGCTGATTGGGTTATGAAATGAGTGGCTAGGACTGTGGCTCCAGCCGAAGAGGAGGGGTCCAGATGGGTAAATTGGGTAAGGGCTTTGGTTAATTGGTTTAGGAAGGTGGCTGGGTTCTCATCTGGAAGTTAGGTAATCTCCTGGAGCTTGTTAAAATTAACTGCTTTATGAGAGACAGCTTGTAGACCTGCCAGGAGCCACTGGAGCATTTTATTTCTGCAGGATCTCCCAGTCCATCCGGACTGGGTGTCAGGCTGGTACTTCCAGAGTGGGTTTTGAGCCGGAACAGCGTCCATTCTGACAGGCATGGTATTATCTGTTAGGTGGGTCCGGTCAGCATGCTCTCAGGTGGCACTAAGGACTCTCTTTTTCGTCTGGGAGGAAAGGGTGGGAGAGGCAGAGGAGAAGGTGGTGTTTGGGGAGGTAGGTGAGACAGGAGGACAGGGAGCCGCTGTAGGCGTAAGGGGAAGGGAGGGCGGCGCTACCTGAGGGAGAGGGGGTTGTGCTGCAAGTAAGGAGGGGGTCTGGGGGTGGGTAAATGTTTTCCGGTGGGTCAGAAAAGGAGGAAGAGGAAATTACTGGATTGGTTTCAGAGGGGGAGAGAGGTGTGGGTTTGCGAAGTTTGGGGTTTTCGAGGGCAAGGAGGATTTGGGTGGTATTACATTTTGTACACAATGAGGGTCGGGAGCGCAAACAAAAGAAGGCTTGGACATAGGGGACTTCCAGCCATTTGCCTGTACATTGGCAAAAATTGTCTAAGTCTGTAAGTATATTAAAGTCAAAAGTCCTGTGCTCTGGCCAGCGAGAGCCATTGTCTGGTGTGTACTGGGGCCATGCCATGGTGGAGTAAAAGATGAGGTGTTTGGGACAGATGTCCTGGTCTAGTAATAGGGTCTTAAGTTTTGTTAATGAACACCCCAGAGGGGTTGTTGGATCGATTTTGGAGTTTTGATTACCCACTGGTTCTGAGTTCTTTGGATAGGGTCCCCGGAACCCTATGCCAGTAGGACTGTTTTACATAGGTGGATGTCTCTGCCTGACGTTAGACAGTCGAACGAGGAATGACCCTCCAAGGAATGACCCTCAAGGGAGATAGGATGTCAGGCGTCCCCGAGCAACCAAACTCCTGGACTGTGAGGAGTTTTTGACATGGTACCACGATTTTCCCCTGTGCCAGTGATGCAGAAAACTCCAGTGCAGAACTCAGACCTTTAGGCAAGTCAGTTCCCCAAAAGTAATCACACTGGAGACATTCCTGAGGACCAGTCAGATGCCCGGTTGTCCATTCCCCTCTCAGGGATTTAAGTGAGTCTTTGGCTAAGGTGTCTCTGTATAAACCCTGGAGCGGAGGGCAGAGCCACACTGTTGTGCTGATCCGACTTCACATGGAAATCAACTGAGGGCCCACTCAAACTCCGCGACCTAGATCTTGGAGTGTCACAGAAACATTCACACAACCTCCCAGGCACACATAGACAGATTACAACAGAACTAATTCAAACTACTTGGTAGTAGGCACTGGTTCATCGCCCAGAGCCCAAGAATTAAAATGGCCCAAAGGATGGAGGACAACAAAATACAAAATGTATGTCCTCTGGTGGGCATTGAGTGAAGGGTAAGATGTGACTTACAGGTGGTGGATGCAGGGGGCTGGAATTCCCTGGTCCGGAAAGAAGAGGGAGAAGGGGAATAAGAATTCCTTCAAGTTCTACTCCTCTTCCTGGGTTTTGGCACCAAATGTAAGGTCACAGTAAGAAGAAGAGGCCGCAAAAAAAGTGGGGTTAAAGGGAAGTTTTTTATTCTGCACTTCCAGGCGAGGTTTACGGGTCCCTGAGAGGGGCCTGGGAGAGGTCACAAGTCCCTGAGAGGGGCCCAAGAAGTCGCACCCCCGGGCAGGGAGGATAGATTTTTATAGACACAGAGAGGACCTAATTGGGGACACTACGGAAATGGTGGGGTTCAATTAGCTATTGGCATGGGTCTGCACCTAATTAGCATGAGGGGGCTTCACAGGAGGAAGTTTAATATCACATGGAACTTTCCAGCCTGGGCAGGTTCTGCCACCTCAATTGTCTTATCAAACTGTCTCATCAGGGCCTGACACCTGGAAGAAGCTGCCAACTGAAATGTTGGTGGCTTGAGTTTACTCTGGCCTAACAATGTCCATTTTTTTTTTTTTTTTAATTGTGATTTGGATGAAAGTTTACAGAGAAAATTCACTTTCCATACAGCAGTTCACATACACTTTGTCTCATGACATTGACTACAATTTACCACAATGCAACAGCTCCCCTCCCACTAACTCCCCATAGTTACCTCTTCCCTCTGTCCTTCCCTCTATGCACTCTTGCCTCCTGAGTTTTCTCCCTGTGCATACACAGCCCTTCTATTCTCCCATGATTATTCTCTCCAAGGTGTACATCTACCTCAAGTAAACATTCAGCTCAAATGCCTGTCTTTTGCTTGGCTGGAAAGCCACAGGTCTGGGTTCAATGCCAAACCTGAAGGGCAGCTAGGGGCTACAGTCTCAGTGGTTCCATCAGGCTCTATCAGACCAGCAAACTTGGTCCCCCCTTTTTTTTTTTTTTTCCAAATGATTTTGAGTTTTGTTCCACATTGTACTCCACTCTATCCAGGATCTCCTACAGAGATCCCCCTCTGAGTGGTTGACCGTGGTAGCCGGGCACCATATAGTTCTTCTGGTCTCACAATCATATAAGCTGCAGGTCGCATGGTGTACCAGTCACTTGGACTAATTGTTTTCACGAATCTTTGGTTTTCTTCATTCTTCTTTGCTGTGGGTGATGAGACACCCATCATTGCATCAAGATGTCTGCTTGTAGGCTTTTAAGATCCCAGTTGCTACTCACCAAAGTAGCATGTGGAACAATGTTTTGTGTAGTATTTTGCCAATTAAGCTTGATGTCCCCTGCAACTATGGTCCCAAACCCACAGGTCCAACTACTCACCCCTTCTAGGTAGCTGGATGTGTACAACCTTGTCCCTTGTCAGCTCTACGATATTCCTGAGAATTCTTATAGAACATAGCAATACACTTGTAGAGATATTGTCTGCTAACCCTATATATGGTCTTGGGCACACTCCCACCTGCATAGACATATCCAATAGTTCAGCCTGTCCATCCATCTATCCACCTATATATCCATGTTTGCCTTCACTGACAATGCAGTACTGTATGTGCAAAAGGGTTTATCTTTGTTGTCTGTATCTCCTATGTACCTCTCTAAAAATGGACGTGTCCATTTTTAACAATTATTTTTTCTAGTGAATTTTACTTCTTTTTTTTTCCTCCCTGTTCATTCACCTACTTCCTTCTGCATATTCCCCCAGTCTCAATAATCTCTCTCTCTCTCAGGCACACATGTGCATGTGCACACACACACACACAGATACACACCATGAATGTAGCTTATTCTTGAGGCTTTATTGCCTGCACCCTTCTCTATTTGTTATCATTATTTAACTTCACATAAAAAAATACACAAATCCACTGCCCCTCCTCCCCCACATTTACAGAAACCCCATTGGAGAAGACAGACTGTCCTACCAAAAGGGTTTCCTAGCTCAGGTAACCTGTCCACTCAGGATTCTCAGATAAGAAGTAGCATCACACCAAGGAGGCATCAAAAAAAAAGCCTTAGAGTTAGCACCCACTGGGTTCGGACTTGATAAGGGGTTATTACCCAATCAAAGGAGAGTGCTGGCAGTGTGGTGCCTAAGGCACTTGACTGCTAACCAGAATGCTGGTGGATCAAACCCACCAGCCACTCCTCAGAAGGAAGGTTGGGAAATCTACTTCCATAGTGATACCAACTTGAAAACCCAAGGAGGGGCCTCTATGAGTTGGGGCCAACTTGACGGCATATAACAACAACAACCCAATCAAAGAGGAGTCGTGCTCAGATCTGCAGTGGGGAATGAAATCAGACCTTTATGCCATTCTTTGTAACTGTTAACAAACATATATGGTAGTAGACAATCAAGATGACAACAGGTGAGTGACCCCTCTCTTCTTGATTACAGGAAATAGGAACTGGACATCCTCATGTTTCATCACCACATAATATGAAACTAGAAACAAAAAGCAAGCAGAGAGGAAGGTGTGAGTACACTGCATTGGAATGATTGTGCATGCCATTGTCCTTTTTTTTCAAATAAAAAGACAGAGTCAAGGGTTGTGGGGTAGGTACATGGCACAACCTGCTAGGTATCCACACAGTGTCTCTTCATCACTGTGAACTCGCCTTTCCAGGGAAGTGCTCCTACCAGAAAGCTGCAAATTAATTTCTGAAAAAGACAAGGACAACAGCAAAAATCAATGTGACAGGATAAAAAGAAAAGAAATGTCCTATTGCTAAGTTTAGGCTTAGCAATGTGCTCTAAGATGTGTTATGATCCATCAAGAACGTCCCCAGCAGTACACTGAGCTGAGAGCTTCAGACTTTTAGAGCCATTGTCAGCAATTACAGAGGGACTTTTGTTCAATTGCTAATCATAGATTGACAACAAACACTAAAAAATGATTTTTTTTTGTGGGAGATTAGATGTAAATTTAATTTTACTTTCAAATATCTTTAATATTTTCTGTAATGTAAACAAAGGAATTCTATGTCAGATATAGGCAAATGTATGTTATTTTAATAATTAAATAATCCCTTTTGTAAAAGCAATTTAGACATTTTAAGGTCCTAATATAGAAGGAGGGAGCTCTGGTGGCATAGTGCTTAAGGCATTTGACTACTAACCAGAAGGCTGTCGGTTCAAACACACCAGCCACTCCTCAGAAGAAAGGTTGGGTAATCTACTTCTGTAGAGATATCGCCTCAGAAACCCAAGGAGGGGTCGCTATGAGTCAGATCCAACTCGACAGCAGGTTTTTTTTTTTTTTTTTTAATGTAGAAGGAAAGGAGCTCTGGTGGCTCAGTGATTAAAGTTTTTGGCTGCTAACCAAAAGGTGAGTGGTTCAAATCCACCAAATGCTCTGTGGGAGAAAGATGTGGCAGTTAGCTTCCTTAAAGATTTCTAGCCTTGAAAACTCTATGGGGCAGTTTTATTTTGTCCTATAGAGTTATTACGAGTCAGAATTTACTCATTGGCTGTGGTTTTGTTTTTCAGGAACACAGAAGGAAGCCTTTCTCTCCCTTTCAAAACATCACTGAAATAAAAAATGAAGTATTTTGTGTGGAGAGGATAGATAGGGAGACAGAGAGACAGACAGATAGATAGGTAAAAGTACTGAAAAAAAAGCTAACAGCATCTTAAATAGACTGGAGTCATTGAGGCACTTCCAGGAGCATGTATGTATAAGTGTGTGCATGTATGTATATTTATGCACATGTACATGTGCACTATTGTGAATGCTGATGTATGTGCATGTATATGTGAGTGTGTTGTGAATGTGTGCATATTTATGTGTGTGCACATGTGTTGTGTGTGCACATGTGCATTTACCATGTGCTCCAAGTGATTATTAACATCAGAGATGTTTGATAGTACTCAATATATGTTGTTGCTGTTGTTATATGCCATCGAGTCGGACCCAACTCATAGCGACCCCTCCTTGGGTTTCCGAGGCAGTATCACTAAGGAAGTAGATTGCCCTATCTTCCTTCTGAGGAGTGGCTGGTGGGTTTGAACCACCAACCTTCTAGTTAGCAGTCAAGTGCCTTAGGCACTATGCTACTAGAGTTCCCACTCAATATATATAAAAGCAAAATTCCTAAATAAAATTGTAACATACAGAATTACACTCTATTATAAAAGAAAAATATTCCAGAAAAGTAAAAATGTTTCAACATTAATAACCCATTGTTGTCATGTCAATTCTGACTCAAAGTAACCGTGTAGGACAGAGTAGAACTGCCACATAGGGTGTCCAAGGCTGTCATCTTTAAGGAAGCCAACTGCCACAGCTTTCTCCCGTGAAGCAGCTGGTGAGTTCCAAACACCAACCTGTCAATTAGCAACTGAGTGCGTCATGACTGCATCAGGAAAGTTCCTTCTGGCTCAGCATCAGGGAAACTATTATTTTAATTGATTCACTAGTAGGTCAAACTTGGTATATCCTGAAAGAATACTTAATAGAGCATTCTCTCTTAATTAAAAAAAGATAAGAAAAGAAAAGAAAAACTCTTGGTAAAAAGAGAATCAGAGAAACTTTGGAAATCAACACTTGATATGGTATTAATAAGATAATATAAATACTGGAGACATTCCTTTCGAACTAGGGAACAAAATATGCCCAGTCTTATTACCTTTCAACATTATTCCAAAGACTTAGATAAAAGAAACAGAGTTTTCACTATTGGTAGATATGCACATGCACCTTAGAAACCAAGAGACTCTTCAGGAACCTACAGAGTGGGCTTCTTGGGGCTAGAACCAAAACAAACAGGCAAAAAGCAACTACTTCACTATAATCACAAAGAGTCCAGTAGAAAATATGAAAAACAATGAAACTTCAAATAACAGTAAAATATAGGACAATATAGCATAAATACAAATGATCAACTGCTCCCTGCTTATCTATTTGTCCTGATAGTATCTACTATTAACTTGAAATGATAGAACTTGTTTAATATTAGCATAAGGAAGCTGTTTTAATCAAACATGACAGGTGTGCACTCTGTTAATTATAGCTCGCAATTAATGTCCTTCATCATGCAGTATATAAACCAGTTCTCTTCCAGGCCAGCAATGACAGCATCATCTAGGAACTTGCTAAAAATGCAAATTCTTGGACACAACTCAGATTTAGTGAATCAGAAACTCCACAGGTGGGGCCCAGACCTCTGGGTTTTATCAAAGCTTCCAAGTGAATCTGATGCCTGTTCAAGTTGAAGACCATCAGTTTAAAGAAAAGAGCATAGGCACACTGAAGTTCTCTGATGGACAAAACTGCAGAAGCTGAGTCCTTCTTCCATCTTGGACTAAGCAACTGTCAGAGTGAACAATCTGGGGCTCTCTCTCACCTCTGAGATCAAGCAATGCAGGCTTGAGGCTAAAGCCTCTGGGCCCAGTCAGCGCTTTTTGAGCTGTTTCCTGACCCACATGCAAACCCTGAATAAGCCCAGTAAGATTCATGTATGTGACCACATATGACCACAAGAACACTATTGATCTAGTCAATGCTGAGCCTTCAGCACTGGGAATAGCACCTGGCACAAAACAGGGTTCATAAATTTTTATGAGAGGATGAGTAAATGAATACATCCTTTGTGTCTCCCCAATGATGAGCAACCATGGGGCCAGTGAGTTCTAGTTCAGGTCCAAGGGGAAAGACAGGCAGTTCACAAATAGTGGCAAGCCTTCCTATATCAAAACCCAAATTCAATGGAACCATTGCTCTCAGCTTGTCAAAGATAATTAAAAAATGGTTGCAGCAGCACCTCAATAACAAAAAGACAAATAATCTAATTTAAAAATGGGCAGAAGACATAAATAGACACTTCATCAAGGGGGATGTTCAGGCAGCCAACATATGAAGAAATGTTCATGATCATTAGCCATTAGAGAGATGCAAATCAAAACAAAAATGAGATACCATCTTGCCCCAGCACTAGTAGCAAAGTTGAACAAATGCTGGTGAGGATGCAGAGAGATTGAGACTCTCATACACTGCTGGTGGGACTATAAAGTGGTACAACCACTGTGGAAAGCAGTATGGCGATTCCATAAAAAGTTAGAATTAGAAATACCATTTGACCTAGTCATTCCATTATTAGGTATATATCCTAAAGAAGCGAGAGCCAGGACAAGAACAGACATATGCTCGCCCATGTTCATCGCAGCACTATTTACAGTAGCAAAAAGATGGAAACAGCCTAGGTGTCCATCAACTGAGGAATGGATAACCAAACTGTGGTACATATATGTAATGGAATACTATGCAACCCTAAAGCATAACGTAGAATCTGCAAAACACCACATAATGTGCATGAACTTGGAAGACATTATGCTGAGTGAAATAATAACAGAAGGACAAATATTATATTAGTCCATTATTGTAAAAGTCAAGGAAAGATTTATCTATGGAAGGAAATTTTCTTTGTTGGTTACCAGGGGTGGGAAGGGAAGGGAAGGAACACTTTTAGATAGGTAGAGATAAGTATTGATTTGGGTGAAGAGAACAGCAATGTACCAAATGTGAATGATCAACATGTTGGCATTGAGGAAGAGGAAGACATAGAGAGGTACACTGGAGGTGAAGACAACAAAGATGAACACTTTTACACATACAGTACTGCATTGTCAGTGAAGGTAAACATGGGTATATGGGTGGATAGATGGGTGGACAGGCTGAACTGTTATGTATGTCTATGCAGCAGGGAGTGTACCCAAGACCATGTATAGGGTTGGCAGACAATAGTTCTACAAGTGTATTTGTATGTTCTGTAAGAATTCCCAGGTGTATAGTAGAGCTGACAAGGGACAATGTTATAGTCACTTCTTGGTCACAGCCAGCTACCCAGAGGGAACGAGTAGTTGAACCTGTGGGCTCGGGACCATAGTCGCAGGGGACATCAAGCTCAATTGGCGTAACATACTACACAAAACATCGTTCCACATGCTACTTTGACGAGTAGCAACTGGGATCTTAAAAGCTTACAAGCAGCCATCTTGATGCAATGATGGGTCTCTCCTCATCCAGAGCAAAGAAGAACAAGGAAAAGCAAAGGATTCATGGAAACAGTTAGTCCAAGTGACTGGTACACCATGCAATCTTCAGCCTATACGACTATGAGACCAAAAGAACTAGATGGTGCCAGGCTGCCACTGACAACCACTCAGAGGGGATCTATGTAGGAGATCCTGGATAGAGAGGGAGAACAATGTGGAACAAAACTCAAAATCATTTTGGGGAAAAAAAGGGCAGGGGACAAGGTTTGCTGGTATGATAGAGCCTGGTAGAGCCACTGAGACTATGTCCCCTAGCTGCCCTTCAGGTCTGGAATTGAATCCACACCTGTGGCTTCCAGCCAAATAGAAGACAGGCATATGAGTTGAACATTTACCTGAGGTAGATATACACCTTGGAGAGAATAATCATGGGAGAATAGAAGGCTATGTTTGTACAGGGAGACAACTCAGGGGGCAGGAATGCATGGAGGGAAAGACAGAGGGAAGAGGTAACTAAGTGGGAGGGGAGCTGTGGCATTGTGGTAAATTGTAGTCAATGTCATGAGACAAAGTGTATGTGAACCACTGTATGGAAAGTGAATTTGCTCTATAAACTTTTACCCAAATCACAATTTAAAAAAATGATTGCATCAGTTTATGGACAGGGAACTGCCAGAGATTTAAGCTGGATTCAGAAGAGGACTTGGAACAAGAGGTATCTTTACTGATGTTAGAATAATCTTGACTGAAAGCAAAGAACATCAGAAAGATGTTTACTTGTGTTTTATCACCTATGCAAAGGAATTTGATTGCATAGATCAAAACAAATTATCGATAACATTGTGCAGAGTGGGAACTGAAGAACATTTAATTGTGTTCATGAGGAACCTGTACGTAGACCAAGAAGTTGTCGTTCAAATAGAACAAGGGGATGGTTTAAAATCAGGGAAGGTGTGTGTCAGGGTTGTTTCTTTTCACTATACTTATTCAATCTGTATGCTAGCAAATAATCTGAAAAACTGGACTATATGAAGAAGAATACTGCATCAGGATTAGGAGAAAGACTCATTAACAACATGCAACATGCAGATGACACAACCTTGCTTGCTGAAAGTGAAGAAGACTTGAAGCACTTACTGATGAAGATTAAAGACTACAGCCTTCAGTATGGATTACATATCAACATAGAGAAAACAGAAATCCTTGCAATTGTACCAACATCATGATAAATGGAGAAATGCTTAAAGTTGTCAAGATTTCATTTTACTTGGATTCACAATTATCACCCGTGGAAACAGAAGTCAAGAAATCAAATGAGGTATTGCAGTGGACATCTGCTGCAAAAGAGCTCTTTTAAAGTGCTAATGAGCAAAGGCATTACTTTGAAGATGAAGGTGCACCTAACCCAAGCCATGGCATTTTCATCATCCTCTTCAATAGCCATGTGAAAACTGGATAGTAAATAAGAAAGCCTTCAGAAAAATTGATGCATTTAAACTGTGGTGTTGGCAAAGAATAGTGAATGTACCATGGATTGCTTGAAAAAGGAACAAATCTGTCTTGGAGGAAGTACAACAGGAATGCTCCTTAGCAGTGAGAGTAGCTAGACTTTATCCGGTATTTTGGTCAAGTTATCAGAGGGGACTAGTTCCTGAGAAGGAATCATGCTTGGTAAAATAGAGAATCAGTGAGAATGGGAAAGGCCCTTAATGAGATGGGTTGATACAGTGACTACGATGGGCTAAAGCATGACAATGATTGTGAGGATAGCGTAGGACTGGGCAGTACTTCCTTCTGTTGTACATAGGGTTGATATGAATTGGAACCCAGTCAGTGACAGGAAACAACAAAAACTTGCTCTCTGGGTAATCTTTGTCATGTCCTGTCCCTGGCACAAAGAATAGGAGAAGGCTCTGAACATCCCAACATTTTTTGTTTGTTCCCACACCTTTCACTCTAAGTCACAGGATCGACCTCAAAGAGAAGTCTAGGTATGTTGTCTGGGTGCTTCTGGTGTTTCTGTGTCTGGGACTCAGAGAAGTCAAGCTTTCACTGACAGATGGTTTGCCACCTACCTTTCCCAGTTTGTAGTTTTCTTGAATTACACAGTTTTCATTGTTGTTTAATGGTTTCTTGCAGGTGTTGCGGGCAATTTCCACATTAATAAAGTATTCCATTTAATCTGTTACCTGTTGGTTAGCAATCATGCAATTTTATTCAAGAATAAAGTTTTAACAAACACTAAAATTATCACTCTTACACACATTATCTTCCTCTTTACTTCCTCCCCTTAACTTCTCCCTCCTCTCTTCCTCTTTACTGCTCCCCTTTCCCTATCTTTCTCTCTCCAGATATATCTTAAGGGGAAGGAAAGTAATACCCATTGCTTTGAGTCTGTTGCTTGTTGAGACCAGGTAAGGATACAGCGGCCACTACATGGAGCTGGACACTTGGGGAAAAGGCTCCATTCTAGTGCAGGGCTTCATCACCTCAGTTCCCACCCACTGCCTTAGCATGGCAAGAACTTGTCTTATTCTCTGTTGAGTCTTTAGTGAGCAAAGCAACGATGGGTATAGTAAGAGTCAGTGTTTGCTGAATCCCTTAATGATTAAGTAACAGTTTAAATTAGGCTACTTGTGATATCCATTTAAATATTTCATCTAGGTTTAAAAGATTATAGTAGGAAATGAAAGGGGTGCATGAGGGTCATTCAGAATAATTAATACAAGATTTTGTTCTCCACTGAGGAAGTCTGTGGTGAAGGTGGGTCCAAAGGATCATCTTGGCTCCTCTTGGAACATTCTAGAATGCATCTGCAGAGACATTGGAGAAAAACAGCTACCTCCATGGTGTCTGATATTCATGTTTACTCTGCAGACTTCTGAAAATTATGTCACATAAAGGTCTTTCCCCATTTTGCATATCCAGCTACATTTACTTCTGAGTATTCTGCAATGTTTTCTCCTTATTTTGTGTGTGCTACAAGGAATGTGATCACTTTTTAGATGATGCGAAGATAGATAGACAAAAGGTTTTCCAGTCATCTCAAGCCGGTGACAGAAAAGCTGTTGATGTTCACATATGTCTTTAGTTGCTAATTTACCATCCTCTTACATTAATTTATAGAAAACTACTACACTACTATACTACACTTCTTTTGGAACAGAGTGTAAGGACAATCAGAAGGTTATGGGATGATTGAGCCTTCTCTCACTCCTTGTTTTTCTTTTGTAGGTACTCATTTGGCTGGACAGAACCAGACTATTTCAACACACTCAGCTACTAAGCAGCCAAGGAAACAACCAGTGCACAAATTAACGGCAGATACTTCCTAAGTAATAATAACTGACAAATTATACACATGGCAATGATTCTGGGATTGTAGAGTCAGAGACCTCATAGTCAGAGGGATCTAAAATTGACCAATTTGGTTGTCCGTCAGCCACCCAACCACCCACCACAAGTGTGATCCTTCACCTTGGATGTGTTGACATGTGTCTTCACCTGGCTAAAAGGGGAGGGGCAGATCTGGACAGGGAAATCCAGAGGCACTTTGTCCAGCACAGAGCAGCTAGCCTCTCTGTGAACACACCCCACACCTCAGGTACTAGAATGGTCTACCCAAAGAGATGCACAGGGAGCAAGCAGACTTTCCAAGAGTCTTTTGAATGTCTGAAGGACCCAAATATTTCCATTTCTATGGGATTGTGGTAGACAATCCCATAAAAGATATCCATGTCTTTAAGCCTGGAACCTGTGAGCATGTTATGACACATGACAAAAGGGACTTTGCAGATTGGACTAAATTAAGGATCTTAAAAGAGGATAATTATCCTGGCTTATTGAGTGGTTTCATTGTAATCAAAAGGCCTTTCCAAGAGGGAGGAAGAAAGATCAGAGACAGAGAAGGAGATGTCCAATCAGATACAGGAATGCTTGGCAAATAGCTCAATTCATGGTATGAGAGTGTTATGAAATTTTTTCACCTTAAAAAATAGAAATTGGGGGGTTCCGGCAAGATGGCGGACTAGGCAGAAGGATTGCACAGACCCTCTTCAACAAAGAAAAGGGAAACCAATTAACACAGACACAGAAGATAAT